CAGAGCTGGGTGGACTCAGGGACGTTCTACTGACTTTGAATCTGGATTCGAACTCAAGAACTTCAGGCTAGCAACGAGAGTCCGGTACCCATCAGAGCTGAGTGGACTCAAGGACTTCCTTAGGGACTCGAGCACAAGATGAAGTACAGTCTAACATGTATTTCTCCATGCATGCGACTGTTAAAAATCTCTATTTCATCTAATTATATTCTGACTTAAGTTCGTCTTTAAACCCATCACTGTGACAGCTCTAAAACAATTTCAGAACGCATGTCTGCAGAAAATTTTTGACGTCTGCTTCAAGTTTAGCAGACGTGGCGTCTCCTGTGGTTTCTTTGACGTCATCACGCCTATGACCTTTGTGACCTTGTGTGTCTGACCTTGACATGCGTCATCACGATGATATATCTGGATAAAGTTATGCGCGTGAAAATACAATATCTTTGTAATACGACGACTTTTTTCAAATTTTTTGACAGGAATAAATAAATTGCTAATGGCTTGATGCGAATATATTTGGAGTGGTTCCGTCTTTTGGCTTTTCCTATTAAATTTTTTTTTTAATCCAAACGTTAGAGTTATCATAGCTAAACTTGGTAAAGTGACAGGTGTTACAGTTTCGTTTGAAGTCAAAAATAAAATCAGTAAAGATACTGTCTGGAACTAAAGTTGGGTTTTTTTAGGGTTTTTTTTTTCATTTAAATACATATCTGCCAAAAACCTTTGCCATTTTTTATATGGGAAAAAAATTACAAGGGAGACAACGCAAAGCTAATTACTGAGCTGTCGATTTTAGTAAATTTTAGAAAGATATAATTTTTTTAAAAATGATCTCAGTACGATTTATCAGACAAAACTAGTTAAAGGTTTTAGAAAAATATTAAAAATGTGTAGTCAATCTAATATACATAAAAAATCTCTCAGGTTAAAAAATTTGAATACAGTGACTTTAATGGATACATTTTTGTAAAACAAGCAATTTATTCCGCTTTCTCAAGGTTATGTAAATTCTTCTGTCTCCGAAAACAATTATTTTAACAAAAATACATTCATATAAGCCGGAGGTTGGCAACCTACAGCTCCTTGGATGTCAAGTTACGGCTCTCCAGCTCCTTACTGAAATACTATTATTGTTATATAATTTCAATTTTACTGGACGGTGGGGTACGAGTTTACCCTGCGTTCAGTTGGGTGGAAGATAAGCCTGGTGAGAACCGAAGGACAGAAGCGACAGATAAACGGTAATCAACCCGATATCTAAGCCATTTAGTCGAAGCTTGTCGTGTTGAGGCCTGCCTGGCTAATGGGAGACACCTTCTGAGCCGATATTGTCTGTAAAAAAGAAAAACACAAATTAACAGCTTCTAAAGTCAATTGGGATAGTCCTATAAATATATTACTTGATTACCAATTTAGTATTCTGGTGAAACATGTGTATTTTTTTAATGAATTAATATTAATGAATTTATTTATTTTAAATAACAAATAAAATGTAGGCCTATTTACCTAATCCTAATCAAATACCACTCCACCCCTTTCTGTATAAACGTTAAGAGTCACAAAGTCAAACTTTGTCTACCAATGTTCTACTGACAGGGGTCTCCAAACTTTTCATTCCGAGGGCCGCATTAACTATCGAATTTCAGATCGGGGCCAGTTCCTTCCAGGCATGTCTTTGATTTTTCTGGGCAAAGTTCCTCAGCCATCACCAACAAACGTTATTTCCTTGGACAAAAAGATCTCCGCGGGCCGGATGAGAGGACTTCGCGGGCCGCATCCGGCCCGCGGGCCGTAGTTTGGAGACCCCTGTTCTACTGCAACTGCCCACCAGCTGTTTATCAATTGTTTAATCAAATGTCCATCCATTGTCCACTATTTGTCCACCAATTATTCATCATTTGTCTATCAGTTATTCGCCTCTTCCTTGTCGTCTGTCCAGTTTAAACGAACCCCTCTCTTTAATTAATTACATTACCCAGTTTAAACGAATCCCTCTTTAATTAATTACATTACCCAGTTTAAACGAATCCCTCTTTAATTAATTACATTACCCAGTTTAAACGAATCCCTCTCTTTAATTAATTACATCACCCAGTCTAAAGGAATCCCTCTCTTTAATTAATTACATTACCCAGTTTAAACGAATCCCTCTTTAATTAATTACATTACCCAGTTTAAACGAATCCCTCTTTTTAATTAATTACATTACCCAGTTTAAACGAACCCCTCTTTTTAATTAATTACATTACCCAGTTTAAACGAATCCCTCTTTTTAATTAATTACATTACCCAGTTTAAACGAATCCCTCTTTTTAATTAATTACATTACCCAGTTTAAACGAACCCCTCTGTTTAATTAATTACATTACCCATTTTAAACGAATCCCTTTTTTTAATTAATTACATTACCCAGTTTAAACGAATCCCTCTTTTTAATTAATTACATTAGCCATTTTAAACAAATCCCTCTTTTTAATTAATTACATTAGCCAGTTTAAACGAATCCCTCTGTTTAATTAATTACATCACCCAGTTTAAACTAATCCCTCACTTTAATTAATTATATTACCCAGTTTAAACGAATCCCTCTGTTTAATTAATTACATTACCCAGTTTAAACGAACCCCTCTGTTTAATTAATTACATTACCCAGTTTAAACGAACCCCTCTTTTTAATTAATTACATTACCCAGTTTAAACGAATCCCTCTCTTTAATTAATTACATTACCCAGTCTAAACGAATCCCTCTCTTTAATTAATTACATTACCCATACTTCTTCGTCTTCATTGTCGTACTCAGTACTTTCTTATCAGACACAGCCATCAATAACAGTCACCATCATCAACATCATAGATTGATCTACACCAATGAGCACGCATATTGCAATACAATATTTACCAAAAGCATTGGTTCTTATCCTGGGTTCGATCGAACCCCAGGGGTTTGGCGATCCAGTCTCGGGGGTTCGGCTAAGGTCAAATCACACACCCGACTAATATAATTCACGATCGGATTTTCATAAACACTAACGATAGAATGGTTCGGTGAATGCGCATATAAAAAAAGGTGGGGTTCGTTACCTCCAAAATTTTAAGAACCACTGAACTAAAGTAAACATATTCAAACACCATACAAACAAGGCAGCATTTCTGACCAAATTCAACGCCCCCCCCCCCCCCTGTCTTCTCCTCGACTGTCCCTCTCCATCCAACTCGGGTCATAAAACAAATCAATTGACATTATTTGTGGAAGCGTCCCTTGAGATCAGGTTCCGGTGCTAGATTTTTGTTGCTCCGTAACCTGAATTTGTTTTCTCCTTTGGCGGAGACTGACGCTAAATAAAGACAGAGTGATTCGCCCATTGGCCGGTTTAAAGTGGAATTTACAATTATTCTTCACTGACTCTAAACATCTGTGGCTTCGTTTCAGTTCTATTCGACGTGATCGACGCGAATTACTTCTTGTGTTGACTTCCCGATATTCGGATTTTGTCAAGACTAATGTAGCGGTGTTTAAACCGATCGGCTCGAAACACTCATAATATAATATTCCACTTTTCAAATCTGATGGTGTTTATCAGAGTTTCTTTCAGTCATTTCACCGCGGAATGGACACTGCACCTTCGTCCCAACCCCCGTAATACGCCCACCGCTACCCCTCCCCCTCCTGTTTTATAGGTCTTATATACATACGAAATATATTCTTTAACTAGTGTCCGCCCTAAACCGCCCCCCCCCCCACTCTCCGGAAAAAATATCTGAGTGAAAACCTGGTCTTTATACATTCCTTACCCACATGAGACCGTTTCTCATTAGACATTTTCCCATTAGACCTTTTCCTATGAGACCGTTTCCCATGAGACCTTTTCTTATGAGACTGTTTCACTTATGGGTTAAAACAAAGACTGTGCTTTTGTCATGTGGTATCGTATAGTGATATCGTAAACTGGTATAAGTATGTGATATAAATATGTGGTATCTTTATTTGGTATCGTAATATGCTTTAGTGTGATATTTTTATATAGTATCGCAGTGGTATCGATATTAGATATCGTTATGTGGTATCTTTATGTTGTATCGTTTTGTATATCGTAATTTGGTATCGTAATGTTGTACTGTAATAAGTTATCGAAATCGGTTGTATTTTCCATCTGAGTGGTGTTCATTGATTTCCATCCCTATTCCCATCCTTTACAATAATAGTCGAATCTCACGATTAAAACACTGAATCCACCCCGAAATCCTAAACCATAGCAAAACCCTAACACTTGAACCCCACAACTGCTTTGAACCACGGAAACCTAAAACCCTAACATTAGCCCATGACCAGAGACCAACACTCAAAAAGTATCGCCACACTTAATACTCGACAAAGTACCCTTTAAACAATTGACTTATCAAATAACCCCCGCCATTTTAACCCCATTTAAAGCGGAGGAAGTTGCTATTTTTAGAAACAGTTCCGCCAGGCTTCGGAGAGAAGTTCAACGCTCTGTCAAAAAGAAGTCATACAATATTCATAGTTTCTGGCACATCACCTTGGGAAGGGTGAGGGGGGGGTGAATAGTTGAAGGGAGTCATTGTTGGGGGGTGGGGTGAATAGTGGTGGGAGGAAATATTGGGGGTGGGGACACGGTGGCATGAGTTTCATGGCGCATTGGTATAACATCCATTTTGTTATGTCCATTCTACATTCTTGTGTCGTTTTATTATGTCAGTTTTAGTATGTCCATTCTGATGAATATTACTATGGTCAAGTGGAAATTTATGTTGCATCTGCATCATGTCCATTCTAATAGGTCCATTGTTATGTGTCCATTCTAATATGTCTATTGTATCATGTCCATTCTAATGTGTGCATTGTATCATGTCCATTATAATATGTCCACTGTCTCATGTCTAATGTATCATGTCCATTCTAATATGCCCATTGTATCATGTCTATTGTATCATGTCCATTCTAATGCCACCTAAATCTTACCACTTGATCTATTTTTAGACAACGCCACGATCGTGACAATAAAGATCCATCTGCTGAGCTTCGACTCCGTCAGTGAGACGACTATGGTGAGTCCTGGCTCTTTATTTCCTTGTTTGCTGACTCTTTATTTCCTAGTTTGTTGACTCTTTGATCAGTACGTGAAGCAGATATGGCAAAGGAAGTAGAGTTCAACTGTTTCTGTTACTTTGGCATATGAACGTATAGTGTGGTTAGCACTATGTCCTGCCGCCTTTACTTTCCTTATTTTAAGTTAGGTACCCATCAGAGCTGGGTGGACTCGGGGACGATGTACTTACTTGAACCCCAATTCAAACTCGAGAGTTTCAGGTTAGCAATCTAGCGCTCTACCTCTAGGCCACGCCGTCCCCTTCTTGCACTGATAGTCTCTTCTCTAGTAACATTTTTAAAACGGCGATCAAGAAAAAACATAAGGGCAGCAGTGTAGAGTATGGGTGGGGTGAGAACAGTCATGACTTTTAAATTGTTTTAGTTCAGAATTTTTTTTCAATTCGTTTTTATTTTGATTATTACTCTAAAATTAGTTGCTTTTTAATTTTCATACTGTTTAGTAGTAATACTGTTAAGTAAGTTTGAACAGGGTTGGGGGAATCATAAAAACAATATCAAAGGAAAATTTGTAGTGTTTGTTCTAGGTTCTTACAATAATGGAATATGAAGCAATGACAATACTCTTGGTGGATGATACTATTGGGTGGATATTTCTTTGTGGAAGCAAAAATGATGCAGTGACACCTTGCAGAATGAAATCTTTGAATTATTGTAGGGTTGGGGGGGGGGGGTTCATATGACTATGTTATCATTATGTCATATCGTTTGTTATATCGTTAAGTAATATGGCTAACTATGTCATCGTCATGTCGCATGGTTGATTGTGTCGAAGTCATAACTTATGGCTAACTGTGACATCGTCATATCACACTGTCAACAATGTGATTTACCAGAAGAGTGTCACCTATCACAAGATGGTGATAGAAACACCACTACACGTTCATCAAAAATCTCCATTAAAGCTTATTGTAAAATTTAAAAAACAAACATAAATTTAAAAAAACTTACTCGTCAAAATTCATTTAGCTTTTGGAAGGAAAACAAAAAAAAAACAAAGTAATTGTATATTAATGATTTGCAAATGGACGTGGATTTATTCAATCTAAAACTTGTATCAAAGGATCTCTAACCACACAGCAATGCATCATCTGTTGACGGGTGTAAGAAATGTGTATTTAAACATGACACTAAGAATCATATGAACGAACACCCTTCTCTTCCCCCCAAAAGAAATACAAGTCTACAAAGTTTGGAACGGCGCAACAATGAGGCAGCCAAGGACTCTCATGCTTCATTAGGCATGTTAGACATTGCGACTCCTAACCTGAAAGTCTAGGGTTCCAATCCCTGGCTCAAGTCTGTAAAAATATTTTTTAAAAGTTCCCCTTTAAAACCTGACGGTCTCTGGGACAAGTGAAGTAGAGTTCACTTGTTTCTGTGACCTCGGCATATGAAGGGAAAGTGTGGTCAGTACTATGCCCAGCCGCCTTTACTTTCCCTAACGTGAGTTAGGAACTCATCAGAGCTGGGTGGACTCAGGGATGGTCTACTGACATGAACCCGGATTCGAACTCGATACTTTCGGGTTAGCAGTCTAGCTCTCTACCGCAAGGCCATTCCATCCTAGGCTCGAGTCTGTAGGACGTCCCTGAGTTCACACAGCTCTAATGGGTACCTGACTCAGAGAAAAATATACGACTGGGCTTAGTGTCGACCACACTATCCCCTTGTATGCAGAGATCATTGAGACATCAGAACTCTACTTCATCTGCCCCATGTAACCTGGGTACGGAAGGAAAAAGGTGATGACATGACATGTTTGCTGGAGTTTATAAATAGACGGATTCAAATCGTATGTTAATACGTGGAGATGGATGTTGGCAGTCGCACGCAGCCAAGATGAACTGGAGATGATGGAAGCATTTGTTGATGATAGTCTGGGAATTTCCGTTCGACGTCTTGTGTGTCATGGCACTTAGGAATATTAAAAATATGAACATTATACTAAGGAGGGGGTCGTCTTTACATGATGGCATGCTATTTTTATTCCCCACCCCCCCAATCCCCCCCCCCCCCCCCCCCAGCATATTGTACCGTTACCGTCAACAACAACAAAAATACAGAATCCTATAAAACAATTTCAGAAAATTTACTCAAAGTAGTAATGAGGGTAGGGGGGGGGGGGGTAAAGTCAGGTAGGTATATGTTAGGCGAATTGACGGGGGGGTGGGTAATGTCCTAGACCCTAATGCCACATGGATCTAAATCTGACTACAAAGACCCCTATTCAGCATTTTTTTTTCACCTAGAACTAGACCTCGCCCCCTGCTCTGTGATTTACCTCTCCTATCTAGGACTAGATCACGCCCCCTACGCTGCCTCACCCAGGACTCGACCACGCCCCTCCTACACCGTCTTTCACCTGTCTCACGTAGGACTAGACCACGCCCCCACTACACCGTCTTTCAACTGTCTCACCTAGGACTAGACCACGCCCCCACTACACCGTCTTTCACCTGTCTTACCTCGGACTCGACCATGCCCCCCCCTACACCTGTCTTTCAACTGTCTCACCTAGGACTAGACCACGCCCCTCTACACCTGTCTCTCACCTGTCTCACCTAGGACTAGACCACGCCCCCTACACCTTCTTTCACCTGTCTCACCTACAACTAGACCACGCCCCCTACACTATGTCTCACCTAGGACTAGACCACGCCCCCCTACACCTGTCTCTCACCTGTCTCACCTAAGACTAGACCACGCCCCCCTACACCTGTCTCTCACCTGTCTCACCTAGGACTAGACCACGCCCCCCTACACCTGTCTTTCACCTGTCTCACCTACAACTACACCACGCCCCCTACACTATGTCTCACCTAGGACTAGACCACGCCCCTCTACACCTGTCTCTCACCTGTCTCACCTAAGACTAGACCACGCCCCCCTACACCTGTCTCTCACCTGTCTCACCTAGAACCAGACCACGCCCCCCTACACCCGTCTCTCACCTGTCTCACCTAGGACTAGACCACGCCCCCCCTACACCTGTCTCTCACCTGTCTCACCTAGGACCAGACCACGCCCCCTACACTATGTCTCACCTAAGACTAGACCACGCCCCCCCTACACCTGTCTCTCACCTATCTCACCTAGGACTACTCCGTGGAGGTGTATCTGAACATGGCGTGGCTGGACGAACGCCTCAACTACGAGAAGCTCCACCCCGCCGACAAGATGGAGGTCGGCACCGAGTACATGAAGGACATCTGGGTGCCAGACGTCTACTTCCGGAACGCCAAGAAAGCGTCGTTCCACAGCGTCACGGTGCCCAACAGATACATACACCTGTTCCGCAACGGGACGGTCAAATACAGCATGAGGTGTGTGGTCAAGATATAGCACTGGTCAACCGTTTACTTTGAAAAATCGTTTTTCAAGATGCGGTGTTTATGTTTTTTTTTATTCATATTTTTAAGTAATTTTTGTACCCGAACGTAAATATAAATAACCGCCATATTTAACCACCATTGTGTTTAAGAAAATGGTTCTGATTTTTGTTGTCTTAGTGAATATTTTTTACATCAATTAAAAGCTTAAGGGAAGTATTATTGTATAATAATAATATCTTTTTTTCACAATTTCAATTTTTTAACCAAATAAAATGATATTTACAGATATTTCAGCCTGTTTTTTAATTAATAGTTTGTCAACCTCTATATTCATATAATATCTGCATTTGTTTACGTTTTTGACACCTACTGATTAAAGAGATAATTTTAAGATTGGAATTCGGTTAAGGGTTATGCTAACTATTATGTTTTCAGCGTGTTTTGTCTAATAAACGTGTACAGTAAATGAGTTATATCGATAGTTAGTCGCGTAAATATTGTTGGAAAAAAGTGGCATGTGTTTTTATAAAAGGCTGTAGTTTATGAACAACCTGAATATCTTGGCAGTCAGGTTTTTAGATGGTAACTTCATGCAGAGGAAAGAACAGAAACATCAAAACAGAGGAAAAAATAGAAACATCAAAACATCGGTGGATGAAGAATACATCTGGATAGGCAGGATGAACCTTGGACCACGAAAATTCTGAGTTTTGTAAAAAGGGATTAGAAAATACGAGCACATACACGAATGCAAAAACATGGTGTTACATCAATGAAAGAGGATTTTGGAAGCTTACTTCAAAGAACAAAATAGTGGAATACGGAAATAATTAGTGTCCAGATAAAAAATGTAATTTAATTAATGAAGCTTAAGTTACCTGTAGATGTTGGTTCTTATACGTGGCGTGGTGATAGTGCATTCGGAGTCGGTTGGTGTCAGGTGTAAGGGGGTGGGTTTGAATCACACAAACGTTGTAGCATTAGGCGAATGGCGGAGTGTTGAACCCACTATGGCAAGAGAAAGATGGATTTGAAGTTGTTGTCCCTAAAGCTTGTGTGTACAGGGATTAGAATTTTGCCCGCAGAGAGAAAACCTTTCTATTCCTCGTCCTCCTTCTCCCACACTCATACACACACAATCACGCACACACCGTGCGTTCAAACCCTTTACCTCTATACTAATACACAAACAATCACGCACACACCGTACGTTCAAACCCTACACCTCCGCACTCATACACAAACAATCACGCACACACTTTACGTTCAAACCCTAGACCTATTAATATTCAATAGTATTTTAACATCTATTCAAATTTCACAGAGGCTTCAATTCAACCCACCCCCTTACCCTCCGCCCACCTTGCCCCACCCTACCATGAATCACTTTGACTCCGCGCACCTGTCGATTCATGGACCCGTTCTTACTCCCTAGGACTACACGGTTGACCTGTATATCATAATGAACTGGACGGACACGCGCCTGAGGTACTCACAGCTCCACACGAACTTCTCTTCTCTGGAGGTCGACTCCAAGTTCATGGCCAACGTCTGGGTGCCGGACGTCTACTTCCGGAACGAGAAGAAGGGCTCGTTCCATGACGTCACCATGCCGAATAAGTACATGCACTTGCACCATGACGGGACCGTACAATATAGCTTGCGGTATGTCGCTTCTGATTTGATTTCGTGTTGTGCTTAAGTAGATTTCTAATCAAGCAGGTGTTGTCGTCTTTTTTTCCTGGGTGATTTTTTCACTTCCTTTTTCAGAAAATAAATAATTTAAGTCTTATCTAAAAGTAGTTTGCAAAGTGGTATTTATGTTTAGTTTTACGTTTAAGATATGAAAGTCGATTCCAAATTTGAACTTTAAATAGTTCGATCTAAATATGCTTTTGATGAGGGATTTTTAAAAATAAGGAAGATCGTTTAAACTGAAAAAATGTGTGAGCTATTAGCTAAATCTTAACCCGCTTTTATTTTTTTCTCGCTTGATAATTTACTTGAATAGGCCACCCGTTTTTTTAAATAGAAAATCACTCAAACATGGTAATACATTTGGGCACATTTTCTTGGAGAAATGCAAATTATCAAAAGCTGGTTCCATATTTTTAGGATTTTTTTAATAGTTTACGTCGATTTGTAAAAATGTACTTGGCATCTACGCATAGATTTTAGTTTAAGACAAAAATTGACCAAAAAAAAAACAGGCTGAAATTAAAATTTTGAACTTTTAAAAGTTCGTTCTATAGGCCTATATAGTTTCATTTATTATTTTTATTTTTTATTTTTTGAATTTAGCAAAATTTACTCCGAAATTGTTAAATGTTATTTTAATTTTTAATGGTATCAGCCAATAAAACTAATTATTTTTAATGTGTGTCCTCCTTTAAATTTATAGGGGACATCAAAAGAAACACTATTTTTGTTTCTTAATTTAAAATGTACATTGCATTTTTTTGTAGAATTCTGAGTATACGAGAGGGTTTCCAAAAAAACTTGGTTGGGTGTACTTTAAGCATAACTTAACTGTCATGTGTACTTGAAGCATAACTTAACTGGCATGTGTACTTTTTAACATCTGTTTCCTGTACACAGGTTGTCCTTGACACTGAGTTGTCGAATGACGCTGCACAAATATCCACTGGACACGCAGCACTGCCCGATGTTGATACAGAGTTGTAAGTACACAAAATGTACACAAATAGTACACAATACATCACACATAAACTGTGCGTGTAGACTTGTAAGTACATAAACAGTACATAATACAGTAAACACATTGTACTCATATTATACACAATACATTACATTTGGGCAAGTGTTCATTCGCGCATTTGTCGCATTCGGGCAAAAAAGTGTCCAATTCGGGCCAGAGGCGTAGCGACCCTTCCCGGCGCCCGGGGCGAACTTTCAATTTGGCGCCCCCCCCCCCGCTTATATATATATATATATATATATATATATATATATATATATATATATATATATATATATATATATATGTGTGTGTGTGTGTGTGTGTGTGTGTGTATATATAATTATGTGTGTGTGATAGTGTGTTTATATATAAGCTTGTGTGTGGGTAAGAGTGTATTTGTGTGTGTAAGCGTGTGTGTAAGCGTGTATGCTACAGTCCGGACAAGGTTTAATAATTACATTGTATGATTCATTCCTTAAAACTTTACCACAATTTAATTCCCATTAAGATGCGTTTAACTTTTTTTGCGAAAGATTAGTAATGTCAGTAAAAAAAATTAAGCCTGATCTGTGTTAGAGGGTAGTTTGTAGCTAACGCTAATATGTTTAGACCAGCCTTTTATGTTCTAGTTTTGAACGATCTCTGTTGTGATATGGTACATAGTTGGATTCGAAGTTTGTTAGAGTAAGGACACACATGTGACATACAAGAAGAAGTTATCAGAAATATTTATTGTTCACATTGGAATACGACATGGGTATTTCGTTGATTGGTTGATGGTATGACAAAACAAGCTAGAGAAAACAAACTGGAATCCAACGGATGTTAACAGCTCGTAGTCTTGGATTTCGCAGATTTGCCCTGCCTTCTCGCACACAGTTTCTTCCAGGCATCTTTTCGGGGGGGGGGGGCCAAGCCCCCCGGAAAAATTTTTACGCCCCCCCCCCCCCCCCCGAACGAAATGAAATTTATATAATTTATATATAGAAAATATATACTTTTAACAGTGTCCGCCCCCCCCCCCCGAAGAAAGTTTACCGCCTCCCCCGTCCCCCCGAAGATTTCAAGTGCCCCCCCCCCCCGGAGAAAAAAGTCTGGAAGAAACACTGATCAAAAGTATCTGATCTCTCACGTTGAAGTTGAGAGAATCGTAAGAATCTTACAAAGAACTAGTCGCGTCTTTTTTTTTTAACAAAACTGGCTATTGAAATTGTACATTACGCGTTAATACACTTGGTTTCTTTACTAAGTGTTAAGAGAGTTATCTACTCACCAATCCAGTACAAATACTTGCGATTTTTGTTAGCGAAAAAAGCGCCCCCCCCCCCCCCCCACCCCCACACACACTCATCACAACCATCTTGGACAAAGTTTGTAGAGCGGTTTTTAACGTAACTAACTTTTTTTTAAAAATGTTACACAATTATACAATGCACAGTACAATTCGTTTCTTTCTGAGAGCTAAAGGTTGTTTACTCAGAATCCGGTGTAATTTTGCTATTTTATTTAGCCTAAAAGCGCCCCCCTGCACCATCTTGATAAATGTCACTAACGTATTTTACAGTTCAACAATCGTACAATACGTTTTAATACAATTGGTTTCTTTTAATAGTGGTAACGTTTATCGACTCAACAATCTAGTGTAAATTCTTCCGTTTTAAGTCTCGAAAAAGCGCCCCCCCCCCATCTAGGAAAAGCTTCAAAGCGGTTTTGCCGGTCACTGTTTCTTAAGAGTATATGTTTTACATTAAGAAATCAAGATAGAAAACAGTTAAATCAGTATGTAAATGCGTGTAGCCATTACATTTCTTAACTTAGACAGTTTATAATTCAAAACTGCAGCATAAAATCAGCTTTAAAAAAATTTTCCCACCCCTTTTGGCGCCCCCATAGGGTCGGCGCCCGGGGCGGCCGCCCCCCCCCCCCCCGCCCCCCCTAGCTACGCCTCTGATTCGGGCATTTGTCGCATTCCAGCAAGTGTCCATTAGGGAAATCGGCCTTCGGGCAAACGGCAATCGGACAAGCGTCTTTCTAGAATTTGTCGTAAACCCATATATATATATATATATATATATATATATATATATATATATATATATATATATATATATATATATATATATATAGTTCCAATTCGAACCTAACGGTACATGGGGCAAGTGAAGTGGGTGAGTGTGGTGTTTGTGTGTAGTATAAGGTAATAGTATAATTGTTTGATATGTTTATAGACGAAGCATAAAAGGAATAGTTAGAATTATTTAACATTAAAACTTAATTTATGTTTGTGACTTTTCATTTAGAAAATAAACATTTTGTAAGGGGAATAACCTGTAATAGTAGTCCCAGTAGTAATTAAAAATTTGGAAATTCATCTTAAAGAGACATCAAGAAATGTAATGTTGTTTTTTATTCAATAAACAACAAACAAATAAAACTATTATTACATTCTGCTTGTCAATATTCACAATAATTGAAAATAAATTAATATTCAAACTGTAGTTTATATTTTAAAAGTTATGCCGAGTATATTTTATTTTTACTAATAAGCTAAACATGTAATTTAAATATTACTCTAGAACTGTGTGATTCATTGCCAGAATAATCTATTTACTTTTTCGAAGACCAAGAAGAAAAGATTTAGTCTTTTTTTGTCAGACTCTTATAAATACAGCCACCCCTTCCCCCCCCCCCCCCAACCCACTGCAAATGTACCCCTTAAAAGAGACCTTTACAAAATATATTTTTATTACTTTCTCGAATAGGCTACAGAGTATAGAGGAAGTATTGTAATCGTGCGCAAAAATCACATGAAATTTTGACAGTTTTCATCGTTTTACACCTCTGTACTTCATCATATACGGAGTACAGGGGACTTATTTTAATCGGGCAAAAATAATAAATGCAGATTTATCACTATGTCGGTGGTCTATGCGTAATCGTGTCGGAAAAACTGTGCTTTGTAATTATGTCCGTATGTCTGTGTGTGTGTGTGTGTGTGTGTGTGTGTGTGTGTGTGTGTGTGTGTGTGTGTGTGTGTGTGTGTGTGTGTGTGTGTGTGTGTGTGTGTGTGTGTGTGTGTGTGTGTGTGTGTGTGTGTGTGTGTGTGTGTGTGTGTGTGTGTGTGTGTGTGTGTGTGTGTGTGTGTGTGTGTGTGTGTGTGTGTGTGTGTGTGTGTGTGTGTGTGTGTGTGTGTGTGTGTGTGTGTGTGTGTGTGTGTGTGTGTGTGTGTGTGTGTGTGTGTGTGTGTGTGTGTGTGTGTGTGTGTGTGTGTGTGTGTGTGTGTGTGTGTGTGTGTGTGTGTGTGTGTGTGTGTGTGTGTGTGTGTGTGTGTGTGTGTGTGTGTGTGTGTGTGTGTGTGTGTGTGTGTGTGTGTGTGTGTGTGTGTGTGTGTGTGTGTGTGTGTGTGTGTGTGTGTGTGTGTGTGTGTGTGTGTGTGTGTGTGTGTGTGTGTGTGTGTGTGTGTGTGTGTGTGTGTGTGTGTGTGTGTGTGTGTGTGTGTGTGTGTGTGTGTGTGTGTGTGTGTGTGTGTGTGTGTGTGTGTGTGTGTGTGTGTGTGTGTGTGTGTGTGTGTGTGTGTGTGTGTGTGTGTGTGTGTGTGTGTGTGTGTGTGTGTGTGTGTGTGTGTGTGTGTGTGTGTGTGTGTGTGTGTGTGTGTGTGTGTGTGTGTGTGTGTGTGTGTGTGTGTGTGTGTGTGTGTGTGTGTGTGTGTGTGTGTGTGTGTGTGTGTGTGTGTGTGTGTGTGTGTGTGTGTGTGTGTGTGTGTGTGTGTGTGTGTGTGTGTGTGTGTGTGTGTGTGTGTGTGTGTGTGTGTGTGTGTGTGTGTGTGTGTGTGTGTGTGTGTGTGTGTGTGTGTGTGTGTGTGTGTGTGTGTGTGTGTGTGTGTGTGTGTGTGTGTGTGTGTGTGTGTGTGTGTGTGTGTGTGTGTGTGTGTGTGTGTGTGTGTGTGTGTGTGTGTGTGTGTGTGTGTGTGTGTGTGTGTGTGTGTGTGTGTGTGTGTGTGTGTGTGTGTGTGTGTGTGTGTGTGTGTGTGTGTGTGTGTGTGTGTGTGTGTGTGTGTGTGTGTGTGTGTGTGTGTGTGTGTGTGTGTGTGTGTGTGTGTGTGTGTGTGTGTGTGTGTGTGTGTGTGTGTGTGTGTGTGTGTGTGTGTGTGTGTGTGTGTGTGTGTGTGTGTGTGTGTGTGTGTGTGTGTGTGTGTGTGTGTGTGTGTGTGTGTGTGTGTGTGTGTGTGTGTGTGTGTGTGTGTGTGTGTGTGTGTGTGTGTGTGTGTGTGTGTGTGTGTGTGTGTGTGTGTGTGTGTGTGTGTGTGTGTGTGTGTGTGTGTGTGTGTGTGTGTGTGTGTGTGTGTGTGTGTGTGTGTGTGTGTGTGTGTGTGTGTGTGTGTGTGTGGTGTGTGTGTGGTGTGTGTGTGTGTGTGTGTGTGTGTGTGTGTGTGTGTGTGTGTGTGTGTGTGTGTGTGTGTGTGTGTGTGTGTGTGTGTGTGTGTGTGTGTGTGTGTGTGTGTGTGTGTGGTGTGTGTGTGTGTGGTGTGTGTGTGTGTGTGTGTGTGTGTGTGTGTGTGTGTGTGTGGTGTGTGTGTGTGTGTGTGTGTGTGTGTGTGTGTGTGTGTGTGTGTGTGTGTGTGTGTGTGTGTGTGTGTGTGTGTGTGTGTGTGTGTGTGTGTGTGTGTGTGTGTGTGTGTGTGTGTGTGTGTGTGTGTGTGTGTGTGTGTGTGTGTGTGTGTGTGTGTGTGTGTGTGTGTGTGTGTGTGTGTGTGTGTGTGTGTGTGTGTGTGTGTGTGTGTGTGTGTGTGTGTGTGTGTGTGTGTGTGTGTGTGTGTGTGTGTGTGTGTGTGTGTGTGTGTGTGTGTGTGTGTGTGTGTGTGTGTGTGTGTGTGTGTGTGTGTGTGTGTGTGTGTGTGTGTGTGTGTGTGTGTGTGTGTGTGTGTGTGTGTGTGTGTGTGTGTGTGTGTGTGTGTGTGTGTGTGTGTGTGTGTGTGTGTGTGTGTGTGTGTGTGTGTGTGTGTGTGTGTGTGTGTGTGTGTGTGTGTGTGTGTGTGTGTGTGTGTGTGTGTGTGTGTGTGTGTGTGTGTGTGTGTGTGTGTGTGTGTGTGTGTGTGTGTGTGTGTGTGTGTGTGTGTGTGTGTGTGTGTGTGTGTGTGTGTGTGTGTGTGTGTGTGTGTGTGTGTGTGTGTGTGTGTGTGTGTGTGTGTGTGTGTGTGTGTGTGTGTGTGTGTGTGTGTGTGTGTGTGTGTGTGTGTGTGTGTGTGTGTGTGTGTGTGTGTGTGTGTGTGTGTGTGTGTGTGTGTGTGTGTGTGTGTGTGTGTGTGTGTGTGTGTGTGTGTGTGTGTGTGTGTGTGTGTGTGTGTGTGTGTGTGTGTGTGTGTGTGTGTGTGTGTGTGTGTGTGTGTGTGTGTGTGGGTGTGTGTGTGTGTGTGTGTGTGTGTGTGGTGTGTGTGTGTGTGTGTGTGTGGTGTGTGTGTGTGTGTGTGTGTGTGTGTGTGTGTGTGTGTGTGTGTGTGTGTGTGTGTGTGTGTGTGTGGTGTGTGTGTGTGTGTGTGGTGTGTGTGTGTGTGTGTGTGTGTGTGTGTGTTGGTGTTTATGTCTGTGAACACGATAACTTGAGTACCATTACAGCTAGGTTGATGAAATTTCATATACAAGTATTATATCGAATTTGTAGTTCTGTATCAACTTTTCAGCGATTTCCGGTAAACTGAAGTGGAACTTATTCTACTTTTTGTTTTTCAAACCCATGTAACTTGATTATTGTATCAGATAGATTAAACGAAATTTCAGATGTAAGTAAATGATCTAATTTTCTGCCTTCTGTCAAATTTTGAGTATTTTCCGTTGATTGGAAGTAGTAATTTACGCTACTTCCAATTTCTTTTTTTTTAAAAACGAATGTGAATTTATAAAGTACTAATAATATTCCGTACACAGATTGTTTGGCGTTCACTTAGTGTGCAATTCTTTTTCCTACGAGATTCTTTTTTATTTTTAAAAGTTTAGGTAATTAAAAATGGATTAAAAATCATGTCTATATCCCGAGGTACCATCCCCTGTATTGGTATATAAGAATATTCGAGAAATTTTAGGGGAGATCACTCCCGGTTTATCTTTTTGTATGTATACATTAAATTATGTAAAATTTGTTGATGTTATTGTACTTGTTTTAAATTGGAAATTTTTTTTTTAAAGTTTGTTTTTAAAAAACTAAAGAAAAATAAAAACAAAGAATAATGTTTTTATACAGAGTATAGAAGAAGTATTGTAATCGTGCTCAATAATATTCATTCACCATAATAGTTTCACTATTCCGTCACTCTGTCACTAGATCTATCTGTCTGTAACGCTCCAGAGAAAACACAAGGAAAATAACATCTATCTCAGGCAGATTGAATGACGTCACATAAACTAAGAAGGATTAATTAATCCAATCAAGTCAAACGAAGCAAAAGTGTATAAACGTCCCAAAACTAAGTGAAAAAGAATGACGTCATTAATTTTAGAATTTAAAAAAAAACATAATTAAAAATAGAATGCCGAAAAGTGTACACAAGAAAATGACGCCATTGATTCAAGAGTAAATAAATCTAACGCCGAAAACAATTTACAATAATATTGACGTCATCGATACGCGATAATAAAAACACTAATATTACTGCATTTGTTTTTCTAATCTTAAAAGTGGTCTGCGTATAGTTTCTTTCAGGTATCTCTTCGGAGAGGGGGAGAGGGGCATAGCAGAGCCCCCCCCCCCCCCCCCCCTCCCAACCCCAACCCGAAGAACGTCTACCGCCCCTTCCTCCGAACTGAATTTACATAGAAAATATATATTTTTACCATGGTCCGCCACGCCGGAAAATGTAGTCGTCCCCACCCCTCCAGGAGAAAAAAAGTCTGAAAGAAACACTGCGTGAGTGAGGTTAGAGGCCGAAAGTAGGAAGTGGGTCTAAATTATAGATGTTGGATCTAGCTTTAGACATTTTCCTCCGTGGGAGGGGGGGAGGTAAAGTTCCTTTCAAACCTGACGGTCTATGGGGCAAGTGAAGTAGAGTTCACTTTCCCTAACGTGAGTTAGGTACCCATCAGAGTTGGGTGGACTCAGGGACGGTCTACTGACTTGAACCCGGGTTAGCAGTCCAGCTCTCTACCGCTAGACTACTCCGTCCCATCGGGGGGGGGATGCGCACTTGAAATTTTTGGGGGAGGGGGGAGGAGCGGACTAAATTTTCCGGTGGGGGGTGGCAGATATATATATTCTATAATTATAAATCAGGGCGATAGACGTTCTTCTGGTGGGGGGGGGGGGGGTGAACATCATGAATTAAACTTGCAGACTATAGAGAGAAAAAATGCTACATTCAGCTGTATCAACAACGGACTATAGATAAGCATCATTAGTTTTAAACGTGAACAGTTTAAAGATTTTACCTCGGAGTGGGGGGTGACACCAACTGCAAAATGTACAGATTAAACAAAGGGGGTTGGGTGACACCATGAGGGTGTCGCACCGGGTGACACACGACCTAGCGACGACACTGTATATATATATATATATATATATATATATATATATATATATATATCTATATATATATCTATATCTATATCTATATCTATATCTATATCTATATCTATATCTATATCTATATCTATATCTATATCTATATCTATATCTATATCTATATCTATATCTATATCTATATCTATATCTATATCTATATCTATATCTATATCTATATCTATATCTATATCTATATCTATATCTATATCTATATCTATATCTATATCTATATCTATATCTATATCTATATCTATATCTATATCTATATCTATATCTATATCTATATCTATATATATATATATATATATATATATATATATTGTACATTTATGCTAATAAAATCTCTTTAGCCATAGCTTTAATTAAACAGAAATACACTCTAATTAAAATCCTTTTCGCGATAATCAATTGCAGTGCTAGTATTATTGCCGCTTATTATACACATTACCACATTAGAAAACCAAGAGGTTGAACTGGCCTCTAAGTTAACTAGTCCCCGTCCGGAACTACCTTCTTGGTAAATTTCAACCGAGAGTATTTTCCCCTTTTCAACAAGGGAGAGCATCACTGTCTGTTTGTACAAGGGGAGGGGACTCTAAATGTTTTACCAGAAAAATAACACGATGATAGCTGGAGACGGATCTATAGACCTACGTGCCATACAGGGGGACAACCACCCCCCTCCCATCCCCTGTTAGTCAGACGATATCGACCCCCGGGGGAACGTGGAAGCCTGACCTTGACCTTGAACTGCAAATCTCACCCGCGGCCGGTTGAGGAACCGGTCCGAACCGGTTTCCGTGACCAACCGGACAGACAGTATGTAAACACGACTCGTTTTGGAAAATATTTTCACTAGTCGGGGATTTTTGGGTGTCTGCTAAGAAAATGTCAGGGGCGGAGACATTGGATTTGTATTTCTTTTAATAATGTGAGGAGTCGAGCGGTTTCTTTTCCGTTATGGGGGACCAGTCAACCATGGCTGTAGCCATGAGGCAAGCCAAGGTGTTCTTGGGTTTACCTCGCTGGGCTGAGACTCGACTACCGAATGGTGAAAGGTATGCGTTGTTTCACTATGTGATGATGTGGAGCTAACTCTAGCGGGTAACGGTGTAAGCCTTTTAGCGTCTACACATTTTTTTTCCGCTCTCTTTCAATCAAATATATTTAATTAGGAGACAGATCTAATGACATAATCTCGGTCCGGTAGTCCTGTCATTTATTAGTGTCCGTCATTTGTCTGTTTGTCTGTCTGTTTGTCTGTTTGTCTGTTTGTCTGTTTGTCTGTTTTTCTGTTTTTCTGTTTTTCTGTTTGTCTGTTTGTCTGTTTGTCTGTTTGTCTGCCTGCATGTCTTTCTGTCTGTCTATCTGTCTGTTTGTCTGTTTGTCTGTCTGCCTGCATGTCTGTCTGTCTATCTGTCTGTCTGTCTGTCTGTCCGTCCGTCCGTCTATCTGTCTGTCGGTCTGTCAAACGGTCCATCGGCTGTTCAGTCGGTATCTCCGTCTGACACCAACATCATATTGTCAATGCCCCCCCCCCCCCCATCCCTATCGCCCCCAGACACCTACACGACCGAGAACGTCAAGTTCTTCTGGCACAAGGCCGGCTCGGCCGTGACCTACGACAAGGAGATCGCCCTCAACACGGAACTGCCCCAGTTCTCCATCGTGAGCAACGAGACGCAAGAGTGTAACGGCACCATGGACTCGGAGTCTCGTAAGTGACACGGGTTCGAGACCCACCTAAACCAGGGAACGTAAATAGGGAAATGAGAAACGAAAAATTGAAGAGGGTTTTGGGTTAAAGCATTTCGTTAAAAAAATCTGTTTCAGTCCACAATAGGCAAGTTAATTGGAGTTCGCCACGAAGAGGCCTGCCTGGCTAATGTGAGTCCAACTCATTAGCCGGTATATCCGTCACGATAGTAAAAAAAAGAAAAAAAAAAGAAATTTTGTTTTTGGTGTAGGGGTAGGGATTAATATAGATAATTTTATTTGTAGAGTATATGCTTCTGACAATGGAATGCAGTTAGCTGTATGAATCTACACTCTGTGTACAATGATGTACGCTGCATAACGCGATTAGCTGTATAATACTGTTGGCTGGGTAGTGTTGTACGTTGTATACTAAATGTATCATTCATTTGGTACGTTTTATCGACTTTGTACGTAAAATTCCCAAATATTCTATGCAGTGTTACCCTCGATTTATATGTAAATAGAGCTTAGCAGTCCGGGGGCGGGGGGAGGGTTGGGGAGGGGGAGGGGAGGGCAGATGAAAAATTGTTTTTATGTTTCAATATCTTGGTATATGCAGGGGTTTTGTATTTCAATAACGTGTTTGGATACCCAAAAGAGTCACGCCGACTCGATCCTGGATTCGAACTTGTGATTTTCGGGTTAGCACTTACGTTGTATTAAGCTACATTCCTAAAATGTAAAACATTTCCAACTTGTATGATACATCTGAATGTGTAACACCTTACCACCTTCATTAATGTTACATCTGTTACACCTTGTTCTAATGTTACAACCCAGTATGTTACACCTTGTTCTAATGTTACAACCCAGTATGTTACACCTTGTTCTAATGTTACATCCCAATCTGTTACACCTTGTTCTAATGTTACAACCCAGTATGTTACACCTTGTTCTAATGTTACATCCCAATCTGTTACACCTTGTTCTAATGTTACAACCCAGTATGTTACACCTTGTTCTAATGTTACATCCCAGTATGTTACACCTTGTTCTAATGTTACATCCCAATCTGTTACACCTTGTTCTAATGTTACAACCCAGTATGTTACACCTTGTTCTAATGTTACATCCCAATCTGTTACACCTTGTTCTAATGTTACAACCCAGTATGTTACACCTTGTTCTAATGTTACATCCCAGTATGTTACACCTTGTTCTAATGTTACATCCCAATCTGTTACACCTTGTTCTAATGTTACAACCCAGTATGTTACACCTTGTTCTAATGTTACATCCCAATCTGTTACACCTTGTTCTAATGTTACATCCCAGTCTGTAACTTTTTCTCTAAATGTTACAGCCCAGTTCGCCTGCATCCAAGCCCACTTCACCCTCAAGCGAGATATCGGCTACTACATCATCCAAATCTACGTACCCAGCATCCTCATCGTGGCCTTGTCCTGGGTCTCCTTCTGGCTCGACCTTGAGGCCGTCCCCGCCCGGGTCTCCCTGGGGGTGTTGACTGTGCTCACCCTCAACACCCACGGGTCCAACATTCAGGGACAGCTGCCCAAAGTAAGCAGCTCTTGTTGTTGTTCTCTGACATCCCGTGGTCACCATGGCAACGTCTTTGTTACTGAACTATATTTTTAGTCGTAGATTTTTTTTATCTTACTTTAATTTTTTTTAATTTCTTTATTTATTTTCATTGTTTTAATTAAATTTGTATCTTAGACTTAAAATCTTACTTTTGAATTTTAACTGTTCTTTTGTGTAAAGAAGTAGGATATGTTGTGTAGTGTTGTCTGCTGTTTAGAATGTTGAGTATGCCTCAAATGGAGCTTTTTTTTTATTGAATAGTTATTCATTTAAAAAACTTGCAAATCTTTTATTTTAAGGTGTGCACCTGTAATGTTATTTGTTGGCCAAAACGTAGAATGATTTGTAAATGTTAGGCGTACATTTTAATTAATGGAGAAGCATTGTAATGTTACGTTTATCGAAAGTTGTCTCAACTGTTGTCTAAAATCTTGTAACAAATGATGTCTGTGAATGGGTTTAAAATTTTGTCCTAAATCTTGTCTTAAATGTCTCATAACTTTGTCTTAAATGTACCACAAATTTCTCACACTCCGTTTTAAATGTGTCGCAAATTATGTCTTGAATGAGTTTCAAACTTTGTCTTGAAGGTGTCGCAAATATCTCAAACGTTGTCTTAAATGGGTCTCAAATGTCTCAAGCTTTGTCCTAAATGTGTCTTAAATTTTGGCCAAAATCCTGACTCTAATGTCTCAAAAATGTCTTAAATATTTCTTTAATGTGTCTCAAATTTTGGCCAAAATAGTTACTCTAAAATGTCTTAAATACCTTAAATGTGTCTCAAATGTTGGCCAAAATCATTACTCTAAAATGTATTAAATGTGTCTTTAAATGTGTATCAAATTTTTTTTCTAAAAGATCTTAAATATGTCTCTAATGTGTCTCACATTTTGGCCAAAATCCTTACTCTGTCTCAAACTTTGTCTCAAAAATGTCTCAAATATGTCTCTAATGTGTCTCAAACGTTAACCCCAGGTGTCCTACATCAAAGCTATCGACGTCTGGATAGTCAGCAGCCTCATTTTCGTCTTCGCCGCCATGTTGGAGTTCGCTTACGTCAACGTGCTGGCCAGGCGCGCGGACAAGGAGAAGCAAGCGGCCCAGAATGCCCGGATACCACCGGAACAGAAGGACGCCAATGTGGCGCTGGTAGGTCGCTGTATGGGAGTCAGAACTGGTGGTTTATAAGTTTTAGAGGCTTGTATGGCGCTTTATGGCAGTGAGACTGGTGTTTTATACGTTTTATTTAGAGGCTGGTAGTAGATTTATGGAAGTCAGAACTGGTGTTTTATACGTTTTAAACAGAGGCTGGTAGTAGATTTATGGAAGTCAGAACTGGTGTTTTATACGTTTTATTTAGAGGCTGGTAGTAGATTTATGGAAGTCAGAACTGGTGTTTTATACGTTTTAAACAGAGGCTGGTAGTAGATTTATGGAAGTCAGAACTGGTGGTTTATACGTTTTAAACAGAGGCTGGTAGTAGATTTATGGAAGTCAGAACTGGTGGTTTATACGTTTTAAACAGAGGCTGGTAGTAGATTTATGGAAGTCATAACTGGTGGTTTATACGTTTTAACCACAGGTTGGTAGTAGATTAATAGACATTAGAATTGGTGTTTTATAAGTTTTACTAGAGGCTGGTGGGTCGCTATGTGGAAGTCAGATCTACTGTTTAATACGTTTTAACTAGAGGCTGGTAGTAGATTTATGGAAGTCAGAAATTGTGTTTTATACGTTTTATACCATGGGTCGGCGTGGTCATGGTTGCTAAACTGAAAAATCTCGAGTTCGAACCCTCGGGCAGATGAGGCTCGTTAGCCTGGGGACAGCCACTCTTCTAGGAGAGACAACTCAAAAATCAAACAACTGCTGCCTTGTAGTTTGTTCTTGGTTGGACAAAGGCTATGGATGCAAATCCAGAAAGAACAGCAGGCTGAAATCGGAGTCAATGGCCTCTATGGCGCATAACCAGTTGACACGTATACATAAATGTGTTTGAGGGGGATCCCTTCCAACACTAAAATTAAGAACGAAGAAGAAGGAGAAGAAGAAGATACGTGTAAACCAGAGGCTAGTTGTAGATTTATGAAAGTCAGAAACTGGTGTTTTATAAGTTTTAACTAAAGGCTAGTAGGTCGCTATATGGAAGTCAGATCTGTTGTTTTATAAGTTTTATTTAGAGTCTTACTTGTCGCTTTATGGCAGTGAGACTGGTGTTTTAAAAAGGCTGGTAGTAGATTTATGGAAGTCAGAACTGGTGTTTTATAAGTTTTAAATATAGACTGGTAGGTCGCTTTATGGAACTGAGACTGACTTTTTTTTGCAAAAACCTTGAATTGTAGCGAAGATGGTGGTACTATGAATTGAATTTTAGAACGTTCTTAGATCTTCAGAAAATATAAAACATTCTGACATCAAAAATGTATATTTAAAGACAAATTATTGTACAAACATACTAGGCATTTTTTAGACCTTGCCGCTTATAGAGTAGATGAAGTCTAATTTTTAGTTTCTTTAAAACTCGGCCTTTTACTTTCCTCAAATCAAATATGGTACCCATTCGAACTGGGTGGACTCAAAGACGCGAACTGGATAGGGATAGCAATCGTTATGCTCTACTTCTTGACCACGTTCTTCCATGGCAATGACCCACCCCCTACTTCTATGAGGATAAAAATAACGTGATTAGAGAATTTAGGTGAATGCGTTCCTATATATTCCTTTTGAGAGAAAAAAAGTATGAAGATTAAACCCCCAAGGATTTGTGAGGATTAGTCTCCAAGGAACTGTGAGGATTTGATCCCTAGACCATTTACCTTACGGTTGAAAATGTACGTGACAGGAGCTCACGAGCGTCGAGAGCCCGACATGACAGAGCTCATGAAAGTTGGATGAGGCTACGCTAATCTACAAGTCTATCTGTGGTACGGGCAGTGTGAGAGACTATATGTTTCGGTTAGCTTTGGCCCTGTACGTATCATAGTTTAACAAAAAACTTCGGCATGCAGTTTTATATATATATATATATATATATATATATATATATATATATATATATATATATATATATATATATATATATATATATATATATATATATATATATATATATATATATATATGTATATGTATATATATATATATGTATATATATATATATGTATGTATATATATATATATATATATATATATATATATATATATATATATATATATATATATATATGTATATATATAGATTAGCAAACAGAGGTGTATTTGGCATATGATGATAAAGACTAGTGATTGTAGGGCTGTATTACGATATTTTTGGCATTGAAATTTACTTTATGTAAAAATCAAAAACTTGATGTAAATGTCTGCTTCGCCTTCCCTCCCCCCTCCCCATCCCCACGCCCCCCCCCCCCCCTCCACAACCCTTCCCCCCATTACCTCTTCACTGAGGCGGCACTTTCAATGTGTCAGCCATGAAAACAATCTCTTCCAGCTTAGGGCGTCCCAGAAAATTTAGGCCGGCTTAGTGCTCCTCAAGGAATGGTTTTCAATTTTTTGGAGCTTTTTTTTGTTAAGATTACGGACCGGTAATTCGGGAGAGTGTGAAACCTTAGGGGTGAGAGGGAGGGCGAAACCTTTCTAATATTATTTTTATCTTGTGCGGTTTTAAATGTGGTAAAAAATAAACCGGGAGTGATCTCCCCTAAACTTTCTCGAATATTCTAATATAAAATAACAGGGGATGGGAACTCGGGCTATAGACATGATTTTTAATCCATTTTAAATACTTAAAGTTTTAAAAATAGAATAAAATCTCGTAGACAAATTAATTGCACACCAAGTGAACGCGAAATAAAAAAGCGCATAATAGTGCGCAATATTATTAGTACTTTTAAAATTTACATTAGTTTTTTGAGAAATCGGAAGTAGCGTAAATTACTACTTCCGGTCAACGGAAATTACTCAAAATTTAACAGAAGGTAGAGAATTAGATCTTTTACTTACATGTGAAATTTCATTTATCTATCTGAAATAGTACTCAAGTTATAGGCTTTTGAAAAATTCAAAGTAGAAAAAGTACCACTTCCGGTTATCGGAAATCGCTCAAAAGTTGATACGGATCTACGATTTTGATATAATACTTATATATGAAATTTCATCAACCTAGCTGTAACGGTACTCAAGTTATCGTGTTTACACACGGACACACACACAGACACACAGACACACACACAGACATACGGACAAGATTGCAAAATTATGTTTTTCCGTATCAGTGAGGTGTAAAACGTCGAGATTTGTAAAAATCTCGATTTTTTTTTTTTTTTGCACGATTACAATACTTTCTCTATACTACGTATATACGAGAAAGTAAAAATGAAAAACTGTTTCCTTGATTAGAAAAATATTCTTTAAAAAAATTCATAAAAAACGTTTTAATAACAAGCTTTTATGTAATGATGCACTAAAAAGTAGAAAATAAATTATAGACTACTATTTAAATAACTATAAAGAAAAGCGTGGGTCACTTTAGTATCTATTGGATACCTTTACTAATGTTAAGGAAGACACCCACGCTTTTCTTTATAGTTATTTAAATAGTAGTCTATAATTTATTTTCTACTTTTTAGTGCATCATTACATAAAAGCTTGTTATTAAAACGTTTTTTATGAATTTTTTTTTCAGTACTTTACATGTTTTATTTACAATAGAGTTACATGACTAAAAACCATTGCGCGGCTTCTGAACATCACGTTCAGTAGGCGCGCAATGGTTTTTGAACGCAGCCATTACGTGATGGCGCAGCTATTGAAGGTGATGACGCGTGTGGTGTGGTTGGCTAGACATGCCTACTAATTCGGTCCAAATTTTTATTAATTCATAAAAAATTAATTAGGCATCCAATTAAGTCAAATTTAGTTTCAGATTGCATTGTCTTCATGTCTTGACCCACGTGCCAACTGTGAATCGTATCGGTCAAGTAGAACTGTCCGAATTTTCACTCCTGCGTTTCCGTCTAGACAGACTGACGACAGACTGACGAGGAAGTGAGTTAAATAAAAGCTTGTAAAAAAAAAATTCATAAAAAACGTTTTAATAACAAGCTTTTATGTAATGATGCACTAAAAAGTAGAAAATAAATTATAGACTACTATTTAAATAACTATAAAGAAAAGCGTGGGTCACTTTAGTATCTATTGGATACCTTTACTAATGTTAAGGAAGACACCCACGCTTTTCTTTATAGTTATTTAAATAGTAGTCTATAATTTATTTTCTACTTTTTAGTGCATCATTACATAAAAGCTTGTTATTAAAACGTTTTTTATGAATTTTTTTTTCAGTACTTTACATGTTTTATTTACAATAGAGTTACATGACTAAAAACCATTGCGCGCCTACTGAACATCACGTTCAGTAGGCGCGCAATGGTTTTTGAACGCAGCCATTACGTGATGGCGCAGCTATTGAAGGTGATGACGCGTGTGGTGTGGTTGGCTAGACATGCCTACTAATTCGGTCCAAATTTTAATTAATTCATAAAAAATTAATTAGGCATCCAATTAAGTCAAATTTAGTTTCAGATTGCATTGTCTTCATGTCTTGACCCACGTGCCAACTGTGAATCGTATCGGTCAAGTAGAACTGTCCGAATTTTCACTCCTGCGTTTCCGTCTAGACTGACGACTGACGACAGACAGAGGAAGTGAGTTAAATAAAAGCTTGTAAAAACGACTGAAAATATTGAGTTGTGTTTAGACATTGTTTAGCACTTTTATAAAGAACGTTTGTTTTTGCTTCTCGTTATGATTAAATAAGTGATTCTTCTTTTATATATATATTAGTGAGGAATTAGCTTTATAGTAGTAAAAGTGTAACTAATATTTCTTCACTCATATATCTAAATATCACTATATCTAAACAGCCTAAAAATTGTAATATTTCTAATATCAGTATAACTGGGTGCCATTTTTCCAGTAAATTGTAGACAAAATTAGCCCGTCTCTTGTAAGTCGATCTTCTTCTTTGTTCTTACCTGTAATAATAAAAGTTATTTTGAACAAGTATAGCGTGTCAACATTTTATGCGCTATGTGGCCCGACTGTTATTAATTTTAAACTTTGGACGCTTCTACTCACACTAGACCTAGCCCCGCAGTTTGGAACTGCTGCTTGGAATCTTTAGTAAAGAAGTCGGCAGAAAAACTAAAGATTCTGTATAGAATATCAAACTACATAGTAATATGTTAAATTGTTCAAGCATTTTCCAAATAACTAATAAAAAGAATTGGATTGTTGTTGTTTTTTTTTTATTAATCATTAAATTTTTTTGGGAAATTAACATTGTAACTAATTTTTTTAAATGTTCATCCTGCACTCAAAGTGTTATATAGAGGAAGAAATGTTTCATGATAATTATATTGTATTTGAACAATCACATTAAAACTGTTGTTTTGATTGTTTTAGGGAACAATGTAAAAGAAAAGTTTAATTTATCTTAATTTTTTTATGCAAAACTTTCCTAGAACGACAACATTAAAGCTATTAATTTCAAATTACGTGTAACAATAGGGCTGGTAAGTAGGTCACAAACCTCAATAAAACCTGCATGAGCCATAGAACTGGTTGATGACCTACTTACCAGCCCTATTTCAGAAAACGAAAGTAAAAATAGTGTTTTTTTTTCCTCCACAGATCAACGGGAAACCCCCAAGACAGGCAGCAGGGGGGCAGGTACCTTCTCGTTTCCAGGCCAGGAGAGTGGACAAGTTGTCCAGGATTGTCTTCCCCTCGACGTTCGCGGCGTTCAACATTTTTTACTGGTTCTTCTACTACTACACGGATTAACTCCCCTGTTTTGGTTGACGTGAGGGTACGGTGCACGCCGCACCGGATGACACTAGCCGAGTTGGGTGACACCGAAATGAAAAAAAAAATGAAAATTGCAATGTGTACGGAAAAAAAACGGTGCTATATCGACTTTGATCAAGAGCTGTTGAAGTTCTGTGCATTGTAAATCACACCACTATACTACGTGACATGGATGGAGGAAAATTTAAGAAAACCTTTTTTTCAATTTCTTCACAAAAACGAAATACTATTGCTTTTAAAAAATTGTACCTTCTTTATCTTATTTACAATTTTTAAAATATTTTATTTTGATAGCCGTTAAAAGCTGGGTTGGTTTTTTTATATTTCTATTGAAAGTAATTGATCAGACATAAGTAAGTCCACTAGCTTGATGCGATGTGTTTTTATATAACAGAATAGCTATTGGCGAATGTTGGACTCGAACCTGACGGTCCGTGTGGCAGGTGAAGTAGAGTTCACCTATTTCAGTGAGCTCGGCATATGAAGGGATAGTGTGGTCAGCACTATGCCCAGCCGCCATTGAATCTTAGACGTGTATGTAATGTATGTAGACCTTGTTTTTTTGCCAATTCATGAACCTACGACTATATAGGGCTAACGGTGGTGTCGGTGTTTCACTTCATGAAATTCATAGCTGAACTCGTATGTTTTCCGAGACCTAACTCCAAAAGCTTGCTCTAATGTGAACTCTAAAAGCTGGTTCAATGTTAAAAGGCTGTCATGGGTCTAATCTCGGTCGTCTCTAAACTACTGTCTATTTCCTTGAAATCGAAACGAGATTTTTTTTTAAATTAACATCACCAGTAGCGATTGTGATGTGTATTGAAAGAATATCTTGACGTCACAGACTCCGACACGATAGATTTAGCGTGAGAATCTGTTAAAGTTGATGTTAACCGAGTTTTATTTTAAAAATCAGCACATACATGCAAACACAGTTTATGTCAATATCGAATAATTGTTTCTTTCTTTGATCGTGACGATTCGTGTTTTTTATTCACATTCTGCCTATAAATGTTCACATTAATTCACAATTAAGCATTGCACGAGATGAACATGCGTTTGTGTTATATGAACATGTATTTGTCAGTTGTATTGCTGTGATGAAAGGGAGGGGGTCACTTGTTGTTATTGTAGTAAGAACCTGTTGGGGGGGGGGGTTGATCGGCCTCGCTTTATAAGATATGCAAATAGGTAGACAAGCTCGTTACTGCGAGCAACTTTTTTGTTAATTTAATCCTTATTGATAAATGTGTGGCATTGGCAATCGCCTGATTCAATAAAAAAATCTCCGTTTTCAGGAAGCGAAATATTGTGGAAACTATCGAGTATAGGAACAAGTTGAACGTTGGGCTTGTGCTCTAAACCTAACCTAATTAACTATTAATGCAACAAGTTAAATTGATATCAATATATTTGAAAGAAAGAAGGATTGGCTTCTTGTAACAGATTGTTCCTAAACATTTATAACTTTGATTAGTAATAATTCATCTCAATCCAGTTTTGTTATTTTTCTACTAAATATTAATTTTTGTTAAAAGTTAGCATTTACTTATTATTAGCTTTATTTCTGCAACTTAAAACGTGACAGTCAAGAATTATTTTTTCATTATAGAAGCAAATAAAAATGGAGGATAGGGTGCTTATGGTATATGCCGGTTGTTTTACGTTTTTGAACTCTGGTCCGGTACATAGCGACACCCAAACAGCAAGTACGATCAAGAGCTAGGCTGTCCAGAAAAAACTGGAATACATCACTCAGAAAAAGGTCTTGATTCAAATTATTTATATTGCAAAAATAATATTTACTTCTCAGGTCTAACATACACAAACGAGAATCCGTCAAGCATTTTTAAAGTTATTATTTGTTAATGAATTTAGTAAAAGAATATGTTACAGTAAAATCGTCAAAAATTTAATAGCCATGCTCGTACTATAACATTGCTTCCCATTAATTTTATAGTTAGAATAATAGATTAAAAAAGAAAATGAATAGCTCATTTTGCTAACTAATATGCCCCCCCCCCTTCCTCCCCCTATCCAACTTTTCATTCATTCAAGTGATATTTACCCCTTTTTATGTTCTTTATATATTTTTTCATTTATTTAAGATGAATGTACTGTGTGATAAAGAGAGCTAGTTACGTGTGTGTTTGTGTGTGTGTGTGTTTTATGTCTGTGCATGTGTGTATATGTGTGGTGTCTGTGTGCGTATTGTGTGTGATGTGTGTATGTGAGTGTATGTATGTGTGTGTGTCTGTGTGTATTGTGTCTGTGTATACTTTCTTAACTTATTACTTATTTATAAACAAACGTTAGCGTAAGCTCTACAGAGGAGAAGGAAAAAATGGTGCCATCTGTTAGTCGAATTATTTGGCCTGTAAACTTTACTGCGCCCCCTTCCTTCACCCTGTAAATAAGGAATGTAACGCCCTTCGTTTCATAATCCACCCTGAATGCAATGTCCTAAACCTGATTCTCTCTGCGTACATTTTTTATGTCACCCATTTACTCACAACTGTTTAAGAAAACATTCGAACCTCAATTATACTTTTTACCATATTGTTGTTTTAGTGTTTGTCATAGTAGTTTTCTTCAATGTTTATTATGCAAAGCTTTGAAAATAAGCTGGCTAAGGGAAGCAGCTGTGATAATACTTTAAGAGGAATAGTCAATACGCGATTATTTCCCCTTGTACATTATTTTTTCGTTATTTATTTATGCATGTTATATTTACGTTTCTTGTTCAGCACTGATGTACTATGACCCCATGACACCATTTGTAACCGTTTTTTTTTTCATCTCATAGTGTTACTGCTCACTTTCACATTGTATTATTCAATCATCTGCATAACAATAACTATGTACATCACGTGTGAAACTAATGTCATTTGATTATTTTCAATTTATTGTACTATTTTACTGTGTGCCAACAAAAAGCTTTGGTGTATCGATTATTCAATGTTTAAGTTGTGCTGGGGGGGGAGTTACATATGAATAAAAATTAGTCCAAGGGATTTGAGAATTTTATAGAAACAACATAAGTTTAGCTCATAGACACGCACATACATGTATTTGTATGTATATAGTGCGTATGTGTTCTGAATGTACACGCATGTATACTTGCTGAGTGCATGCGTGTATGTATGCGTGCATGTATGTATTTGCGTATGTGCGTGCGTGCGTGTGTGTTTGTGTGTGTGTGTATGGGTGGGTGGGTGGGTGTTGTTAAACAAATACAGGCGGAAAATGATATAAGGTTTTTCTTATCCTTGCAGTGTACATGTATTACTGGGTATTATTCTGTACAAAAATAACTGTGTACATGAGATTCATAAATGTATAATGATGTTAACATATGTTTCCGTGTATATGTGATGCCGTGTACACGTATTGTAGTGCGCATATATTGATGTGTACATGTATTGTGATCATGTGTTGCGTGAACATCTGACGCTGTACACTGAAGACATCTCACCCTCAATACAGTTAGTGCTAACCTATATTCTTCAAAACAAGGTTCAAAACAAGGTATTGAAACTGAACGACCATCAGAAGACATATTGAATAGAAATAATCACAGGATGTTTTCCTGTATTGGTGACCAATATCAATAATGAACTTTGACACATTGAAACATGTATTTTCACTTTTAAAAGTAAGTTTGAATAGTATATAATTCAATCGAGAAATGCATACGACTAAATTCATCAATTGTTAACACTTTTAATATAGATTTTTTCCTTAACAATTGTGCTTTAATTGGTGTTAGGAGGTTAGTCATAGTCAATACACCTATTTGTCAGTCTTGTTCGTTTTGTCACCATTAAATTCACTTTAATTATCTTTCTTTAAATATAATCAGGGGCAAAGGGTTGGTGCAGGATTTCTAAATAAAGTTAATGGCTCTATAAACATTTTATACTTGTAAAAAAATATATTAAAAAAAAACAAGCATATTATTGATTCCTACAGGTTATATAAAATGCCGGTTTAAAGAAAAGATTATACAAATTATATTTACATTTGCACACACACACACACACACACATATATATATATATATATATATATATATATATATATATATATATATATATATATATATATATATATATATATATATGAAACATGTAGGAATAATAATTTGGGGGGTTAGCTTGTGGGTAACAAATAGGTAGGTGAGGCACTTTTAGGGGGGGGGTCCCACTGTCCTGGGGAGGGGGCACTGATTTCCTTAAGAGGATTTGACCCGGTGTCCTGAAGGGATAGGCGCTCGGTGTCAGGTGGGGGTACGCAGGTGGCACCACTGTCAATAAGAGTTGGGGGTCGATGTCTTCATAAGGTTTTAAGGAGGCCCCGCTGTCCTGTTAAAATGTATATACATACTTTTAACTTAACACGTGTTAACACTCTCAAAACGGCGTTTCCCGCTGTTTACGTGAAATGTAATTTTTTATTTTTTATTTCTACACCCTGTGAACATGCCGCGTCTTCAACCACTCATACTGTTGCATCTATCTGGGTCATTACCCAGAGCGTCTTCTATTTTTAGATTTTATTTGACCTATTTTCTAAGAATAAAGAATAGATTTGAAAATCTGATTTTTTTTTTCATTTGTCTTGCGTGTGTACGTGCGAGTTGTGTTTGTGAGTGTGTATGTGTGTGTGTGTGGTTGTGTATCCCACCGCACACACATCCCACCATCCACACATCCCAACATCCACATATTCCACCATCCCTGCATTCCATCAATCCGCATACTCCACCATCCACACATCCCACCATCCACACATCCCACCATCCACACATCTTACTATCCACACATCCAAACATCCTACCATCCATATACCCAACATTCCACACATCCCACCATCCACACATCCCACCATCCACACATCCCACCATCCACACATCCCACCATCCACACATCCTACCATCCACACATCCCTCCATCCACATATTCCACCATCCCTACATTCCATCATCCACACATCCCACCATCCACATATTCCACCATCCCTACATTCGACCAATCCGCATGCTCCACCATCCACACACCCCACCATCCACACATCCTACCATCCACACATCCCACCATCCACATATTCCACCATCCCTACATTCCATCATCCACACATCCCATCATCCACACATCCCACCATCCACACATCCCAACATCCACATATTCCACCATCCCTGCATTCCATCAATCCGCATACTCCACCATCCACACATCCCACCATCCACACATCCCACCATCCACACATCTTACTATCCACACATCCAAACATCCTACCATCCATATACCCAACATTCCACACATCCCACCATCCACACATCCCACCATCCACACATCCCAACATCCACATATTCCACCATCCCTGCATTCCATCAATCCGCATACTCCACCATCCACACATCCCACCATCCACACATCCCACCATCCACACATCTTACTATCCACACATCCAAACATCCTACCATCCATATACCCAACATTCCACACATCCCACCATCCACACATCCCACCATCCACACATCCCACCATCCACAC